TAAAGAAAATTGTTTGTTTGTTGACTTACATGGTAGTTGATGTAATTGTAGCTAAATGCTTTAAATCACTTATTTCTGAAACAATTTTGTTCATCTTCGTGGAATATTTGTTTCTTCTGTCTTTGTGTCTTTGCTGGTGCCCCTTTTTATTTTATGGGTAACTCCATTGATTTTCTCCCAGTTCCCCCATAGTTACCAAGTAGCTATAACAAAAAGCAAAGGTTCCTGTACCAGTATAGATGAGTGGGCAGTGGGTTGAGAACTGGCTGATAGGCAGAACTCAGAGAGTTGTGATCAGAGACTCAGAGTAAGGCCTATAGATAGCAGTGTTCCCCAGTTGGAGCTGGGTCCAGTCTTGTTCAACTTCTTCATCAGTGACATGAGTGAAGGGATAGAGTGCACCCTCAGCAAGTTTGCTGATTATACAAGGCTATGAATAGTGGCTGACACCTCAGAAGGCCATACTGCCATTCAGCAAGAGTTGGGTGGAGAAGAACCCTATGAGGTTCAGCAAAGGCAGATGTTCTACACCTGGGAAGAAGTGGCCGAGTGCATCAGTAGAGGTTGAGGGTTGAGCTACTGGAAGGGAGCTGTGTGGAGATAGAGCTGGTTGACCCAGTGGTTGGCCAACGGTTGACCAAAGTTTGACCACAGGGTGACCATGAGCCTATTCAAGAAGGCTAATGGGACCCTGGAGTGCATTACAAAGTGATCTTACTGGTTCTTATCAATATCTACAGGGCAGGGGTCAAGTGGATATGGCCAGGCTCTTTCTGGTGGCACACAACAACAGGACAAGGGGCAGTGGGCACAAACTAGAACACAGAATATATGAACATGAGGAAGAAGAACTTCTTGACTTTTAAGGGTCTCAGAGCCCTGGAACAAGCTGCCCTGAGAGATGGTGGAGTCTCCTCCCCTGGAGAACCCACCTGGATGCTTTTCCCAACTCGCAGTACGGGATTGGGCTCCAGAGGTCCATTCCAACACCTACAATTCTGTGATATATTGAAAGTGTTTCTTCAAGATAAGCCTGAGCACCTGTCAATGTTGACTGCTTAGAAATTCAAGATAAGACTTGCGAGGTGTCCCCTTCCAACACTGACTGCCGGGAGGACACAGGCTGTTGTTTTAATAGATGTCATTACAGGAGAGCTCTGGGACCGGTTCTCAAGACAAGCTTTTCTAAGTTAGCCAAGCAGCAGTGCTTGGAAATAGGTAGTTCTTAAGACTCACTGTTGCTTTTGAGATCTCTGAGTTTCAGCTCTTCAAACCAGTTTATCTTTTCAGTACGCACAGGGCAGTGGTTGAAAACACATCACTTACTTCAGGCAATCCTGGCTTTTGAATCACAGAATCATTGAGGTTGGAAAAGACCTCTAGGATCACCAATCCCAACTCCAGCACCTGCCCACTGACCATGTCCCTCAGTGCCACATCTCCATGGTTCTTGACCACCTCAGGGTGACTCCACCACCTTCCAGGGCAGCCCGTGTTACGGACAGCTGTTTTGGTTAGCTTTTTAATGCTGTTATTTATGGGGAGCAAATCAAATGCAAACTGTGTGGTTTTCATCTGGAAAAAAATGGCATCCTTTCATGCCTGAAAATATCAGAGCCTGATCCTGAGAGGCACCAGAGCCCCACGCTCATAAAAGGGGCTCCGCAGGGGGCAATTGCTGAGATTGATGGTAGCAGGACACTTATACAGAAACCAATGACTGGTTTATTACCGTAAATAAAATGTTCAGGCTCTTCTTGTCAGAAAACACAGCACAGTTTATATTAGTCAATTAACCTGGTAACCCGAATAGCTGTTTTTCTTTTGCATGAGAGTCTGTGCTGTTGCACAAAGGGAATGGTTTTCCTGCATCCTCGGGTGGTTTTTCTCCCATCAGTCACACGCTGTTCATTGTGGATTACCCATTACTCCATAGTTATTAATACAAAGAACTGTTGGGATGAAACGCTGTGTTTCTGCACCACATTTAGTCCTATGCAATATGGGATGAGCAGCTTTGATCTCTCTTCCTCCCTGATGTTCTCCTCCACTGTAAGCAGTTTGTTGGGTTGTCCAAGCTTTTGGTTTTAGAATCATAGAATAGCTTGGTTTGGAAGGAGCCTAAAGATCATCCAGTTCCAACCCCCATGCTGTGGGTTCCCACCCACCTGATCAGACATCAGGCTCCACAGGGCCCCATCCAACCTGGCCTGGAGCATCTCGAGGGATGGGACACCCACAGCTTCTTTGGTTGCACTAAAGCTTTCAAGCGTCGTTTCAGCCATACTCATCCTGCCACTGCTTTCTCTTGTGGTTCTTGGCAATAGTTTTTCTACTAAGAAAAAGAATAATCAGTGCAAATAAAAATTGTGCAGGTTCTCCCCTTAAGTTTGCAGTTCCTTCAGTATTGGAGGTCCATGGTGTGTTGCATTACACTCTTTTGGATGTGTTTTTATTGCAAGCTTGTCAGACGTTTTGTCTTTAAGATCCTCTTCAGATCAAAGCAATTTCAAACATTCCTAGGTTGTCCTGTTAATTGTGTGATCAAGAAACCAAATCTTTGAAGGAAGAGTGCTCAGGTTAATTATTTTAAACCTCGGAAAGTGAATCATTAGGAATAAGGGTAAGCAAGGTTTGGGGTATCTTGACATTAGCTGCTGCTGATTTCTAATGACACGCTCCACATCTTGGCTAGGAAAATGCCACAATTTCTTCTTTACAACATCATAAAGCCTTTTAATTAACATTTTGTTGCACCAAACAAACATGGAAGGATATACACGTGCACAGGTTAAACACGCACAGTGCCTTGGGGGAAAGAGTGACATTCTGGCTTGAGAGCTATTATTTCTCACATTTACTCTTAATTTTCAGGGAATTGGTTTTGTAACAAGAGACTAGTAGAGAAAGGATGTTCTTCCTTCATCCTTTGCTGACAGTTTGAATCTTTGGTTTTGCCTGGTTTGGCTGCTGGCTTTGGGACGGCCACATGGATGCCATTCCCTGCCCAGTTTTAAGGATGAGAGCAGAAACATTGCTGTCAGCACTGCTTTTCCCATCGCTCACTCGGAGGCAGCTCAGCTCAGGGTTTTGTTTCTTGAAGCTGCTGTTGACTTCAGTAGGAGCCATGTTGCCAAATGGCACATTTTCCTAAGCTAAACTTCCTTCGAAAGAGCTAACAGCTCACAGTTCATGAGTCTCCTGGACATCTTCATCAGGACAGCTTGTTCTTTGATTTTATAGCCATTAAACAAAGCACTTTATGATAGCTGAAGGGGACAATTGCAGGAACAACAACCCAGCAATCTGTTTCACACTTGCTTTAGTCTGCAATCTGCTGGTCTGCTTTTAATATTCGAAAGCTCTGCGACTTCTTCTACCCAAGTGTGAGGTCCGTACAAGTTTGCTTGCAAATACTTTGTACAGCTCCATTTGGGTGAATTTAGTGGGTTTGTCACTTTGTGACAGTATCTGTGATCTGCTCTGATGTGCTTTCTTATTGTTTTTTGGGCTGTTTCTGTAGATCAGTGTCCCCTTCTGCCCTGGTGAATATGGATGTCTCACCCCTGGTTTACTGGGATCTCAATGCATTTTGTGTCGTTCCCTATAACTCAATAAATGATCCTTTAGGGTTTGAAATACCAAATCACCCCAACTTAAAGGGGGAATGAGGATAGTGGTGGTGCATACCATTTGGTAGTGCCTCCATTTAGCTTAAAAATAGAGTATAAGTAGTAGTCCTGCAGCTGTGTACGCAGCCTGATGCTGTGTTTGAGTGGGCTTAGATAATTTGCTGCACTTAAGGGCACGACTGCTGGTTTTTACAGGCTATGCACAGTGTACCTCCCTTCCCTTATTAAGAAGGGGCACTGAGTCACATCCACACCTATTGCTTCTCAGAGTTAGGGTTATGGTTCTGCATCCAGTTATTGGCTGTGCAGCTTGCTGCAATCGAACAGGAGCATGCCTACAGCTTGGCTGTATAGGAAGTGTCATTTTTTGTCTTAAAAAAGGGAGCTGCATCCTAGTGCTTAAGGCTGCTTAAGAGTACATGAAAAGATGTGTCAGGAAAGCTTGCAAAGATTTACTCAGGAAAATGTTTTCTATTTAATGAAACACATTGCAGCAAGGACGTGTTTGCCATTTGATACGTTTGCTATGTTTAGGAAGGAAAGAAACAATTAGGAGAAGATAATTACTCAATAGCTGCCTGACAACATTCTGCTAGTGCTGCTCTAAGTAATACCAGAGTATTTCTTGCAGCTGTTTTGCCTTCCCATAGATCCTATGGAGTCCCCTCGTGTCCCAGAGAGGTGATGACAAACAGCAGAGGGAACACAGCTTAAAAACTGCCTCTGTGGCAACTGATTCTATTTGTTTAGCTTAGAGAAGAGAAGGCTCTGGGGAGAACTCATTGCAGACTTCCAGTACTTGAAGGGAGGGGGAATGGCTGTTTATGAGGGTGGATAGTGATAGGACAAGGGGGAATGGTTTTAAATTGAGACAAGGGAGGTTTAGGTTGGGTATTAGGAGGAAGTTCTTCACACAGAGGGTGGTGAAGCACTGGAACAGGTTGCCCAAGGAGGTTGTGGATGCTCCATCCCTGCAGGCATTCAAGGCCAGGCTGGATGTGGCTCTGGGCAGCCTGGGCTGCTGGTTGGTGACCCTGCACATAGCAGGGGGTTGGGACTGGATGAGCACTGTGTTTTCAACCCAGGCCATTCTATGATTCTATGATGATTCTGTGAACTGAGGGCAATGTCTTTTCCTCCACAAACAAGTCAGGCTGTGGCAGTGCTGCACAACTTCACTTGCACTGACTTGTTAAGCTGTAGTGAGCTGAATATTCACAATAAGCCCTCTGTACCCTTAAACCTGTTAAAGCACCAGGAGGTTATTTTTTTCCACATCCGTTGATATCCTTTTGCATTGGGCTGCTTGATTTCTCATCCTCGTGTTGGAACAATATAATAATAATATTTTTCTGTTTATTACATTAGCAACTACTCCGTGAGATGCAACAGATGGCAAGTCGCCCCTTCGCCTCCATCAACGTTGCCTTAGAAACAGATGAAGAGCCGCCAGATCTCATTGGGGGAAGCATAAAGGTGAGAGCTGGTGCTCGAGGATGGTCCTCACCACAATTAATCACATGGCTGCTTCTTTTAAACTCTGCTTAATGCCTTAATCCAACTTCTATTTGTTACATATCCCCGAGAAACTGTAAATCTCCACGGGCTGACAGATCTCGTTTCATTTGATTTTTGTACCTTCAGGTAGGTGCACATTTTCAACTTTCAGTCCAGTTTAGCTGAAAGCTGTGCTGTTTGAAGGCTGTGGGGTTTTGTGCTTGCCTTGTTGGGTTTTATGCCTTGTAATAGAGAAGAATGCAGTGTTACACAGCAGAACATTTGGCCAGAAATAGCTATAGGTGCTGCAAATAGAAAACGTTTTTCTCTGATCTCTCAAATCAAACAGGAATACCATCGTGTCTGTGGACTGTAATAGTATCAACATATTTCTGGTTATAAATACACGTTCAAATACATCGTGTGATACAGAACTGTGGAGAAGTGGTTGTGTTAAACCTGCTTGGCACATTCTTTGTCACAGCACATTGTGGATTTAGGAAAAGCTTGTTTAAAGGGAAGTGAGTTAATTAAAAGGTCCTTTTTAATGGAGTATTTTCACTAGCAGACTTGTGCTCAAAAAGGAAAAGTTAAGAACCTGAGAATCCTGGTTTAAATTCTTTTTTCCCCCTATCTAAGATAGCAGTTTAATTTTATCTAGACTTCAGTTTTTTCGATGTCTTCATTAGTACCAAAAAAATCTGATCTCAAAACTTTTGTTTGGTGAATATTCATAATTAAATCTTGGCCTTTGTATCAGGAAACACCACAATTAAGGCTGCCTACAGAGCCCTGGCAATTCTTTACATAGATGTGAATATCTTCTTTCATGGCAAGCTGCAGTGCTTCTTCCTCCTGTCGTGCTGCGTGTTGTGGATAGGAGAACAGAAGAGAAAGGTTTTCACTGTTCTGCCATAGTTTCATTATTTTTCCTGGTTATTCTCTGTATTTCATCCGTACCTTTTGTCCCAAGCTGTGAATGATTCCTGTCACTGCTCCAGAGCTGAATGCTTCATGAATTAATCATCAACACCTCTCTCTGAAGTCAGGGGTTATTGTCCTGATTTGCAGATAGGAACCTTCACAGGCAGTGAAAATACAGGAGAATTTGCAGAGACACTCATTTGGAGGTAACGGAGTGGCACAGGTCAGCTTAGTTGGGACCATTCTTGGGAGACACTGGGAGACCACCCTCCCATGGACTTCCACATGACTCCAGATCACTCTGTTTTGCTTTGTTTGTATAACTTCTGTAATTTTATTATGAACCTGGCAGATAATGGGAATTATTAGCCACTAAAAGCTTGCCAAGACACTGAAATACGTGCTTGTAAAATCTGGCTGTCACCCAATGAATTAGAGCCTTCTTTTCATTGCTTCATCAAAGAAGCCATGGGATGTGTATAGGTGTTCCCATTGGGATGGAAGCATGTTTGTGTGACTGTTGCCTGGGTGCTGATATTTTGGGGCCACAGTGTGTCTGTGCAGGGGCACTTCCTTCCCTTCCCTTCCCTTCCCTTCCCTTCCCTTCCCTTCCCTTCCCTTCCCTTCCCTTCCCTTCCCTTCCCTTCCCTTCCCATTCTTCTTTCCATTATTGACACTATTCTTCTGGAAATTCTAGAACCATAGAATGGTTTGGGTTGGAAGGAACCTTAAAGCTCATCCAGTTCCAACCCCCTGCCTTGGGCAGCCATGCTAGATCAGATTACCCATGACCCCATCCAAGTTAAACATGCTAACTTTATGCACCTCTCCCAAAGAATCAGATCAGAGCAAAGCTTGTCCTTAACTTTTTGATCTCCGACAAGTTTGTCTACACTGAATAAGTGCAGAGAAGATGCTAAGCCTTGACTCTCTAATATTCCAACGTGTGTGTGTTGTTATTCTTGTTCAGCCAGCAGTGCTTATTTCTCTTCATGTGGGCTGTGTGGTACACTTTCTCTGTAGCTCTTTGCTTTTTATTCTTCTCAGTTTCTTTTTTGATTAGAGGAATGTGAAACTCTCTTTTGAAGTGCTTCCATGGACAGCAGAGCAGACAGCATTTTTGTCTTTCTGGCACCAGCAGCTACATTTCCTTGCTTTCCCATGTCTGCTGTCATCCTCCATATCTCACTTGTCTGACCTCCTTCAGTTACTCAAGAAGAGATGGAGAAGCCATTTTCAAACATAACTAAGATTGTGGACAGATGGACATATGCCTATTTTCAGACCCAGAAATTGTTACCAACTGCTAATTACCCTCTGTGCTGATAAAGTCCTTGAAGCAATTCGTGCAAACATTTCTTAGTCTACATCAGACAAAACCAAAATAATCTAATTCGGGCAAATGGCACAAACTGTGTGCAGCAACATGAAGCCAAACTGGGAACGTGGACGAGGTCTGTGCCAGCAGGTGACTTCATCTGCTGAAAGCTACCTGCATAATGAGGATGCTTTTGTACAAGGAGAGAAGCTAAATTTATTTATAAATTTGTTTTCTGTTAGGTTGCAGAAATAACATGGGGGGTGGAGACACTGAAGATCAGCTCCGTGCAGCTGATTGAACTGTAGGTGTCCCTGTTTATTGCAGAAAGTTGGACTGGATGACCTTTAAGGGTTCCTTTCATCTCAATCCATTCAGTGGAAACATGTGTGGAAGTCTTGAGTGTTTCAGCAAGGTTGCAGCTGAGCAGAGAGGAGCAGAGCTGCAGGAGAGCTGTGTGTTGCAAGCCTGCTGGCTGCTGCATAGAATTGAATTGTTTTAGAAGTGAAAAAGCAGTCTTATTTTATTTGTTCTTCAGCTATTGGCCAAAGAAGGAGTGAGGGGAAGTGTTAAGTTGTTGGACCATAAAGTGTTTTCTGGTTGCTCTACCACTTGCTGTCAAACTTTGAGAGCTTTCGTTATACATAAGAAATCCAGGCTTGTGTTATCAGACATGCATTGGTGTTTTTCTTTCCCCATGCAAATCAAAGCCTTTGGTTAATAACGAGTTTATTTGAGGGTTACAATGTAAAAGTGAAAAATGGGATGTCTTGTCTGCAAGAGATTAATTTTCTTTTCCATTGTACATAGCCAGTTGGCAGCCAATGTCAAGCTAGTTCCATCCCAAGCAAATGTTTTCCAGCTGGACAGTATTAGAACCGTGTTTTCAATTAGTATTTTTCCTGGGGTACTTAGAAGTAATAGAAAATTTTTTACCTGCAGGGAAACTATTCATAATACAGGCTGCAGCTAGGCAACACGTAACTAGCTGCTTTGGTTTATCTCCTGCACCAAAAGATACCCAGTGGATCACAAATCTACCTTTAAATTTGCTTAGTTATTACAAAATCCATTGGCTTTTCTCTGCAGCTTTTCATGCACTCTGAGGTGCTGTGCATTGCAGTTTCTTCTACAAGCATTTAACATCTGTGGATATCCAGGGCCAAGCTTTGCAGTTCTCTGCAGTGATTTTCAGAAGGTTTGCTGTAGGAATTTGGAAAGGTTTTAGTTTTTACAGTGATTTCCATGTATCTTGAAGGTGGTAATATAACAAAGCTAACACTTGTGGGAAAACACTATAAAGTGCAGCAGGCAAATGCTTATCTGGAGCAAAACACCTACAGGCTTATTGCATGGTTGCATTAGAGAAGTTTATCCTTAAGTTGGACAATATTGTCACAGAAGCTTTCAGAGGCTTTGAGGAACACTCTCATAGAATCATAGAATTACTCAGGTTGGAAGGGACCTCAAGGATCATCAAGTCTGACTGCAGCCTAACCATAGTACCCTAACTCTAATACAACCCTCTGCTAAATCATATCTCTGAGCAGCTAAATCATATCTCTGAGCAAACAGCATTTGCTGAGCAGAGTTATTATGTGCAGTTATTCTTCTGCTGGGCTGTGTTCAGGGATGCAACATGCGAAGCCAGTGCTTGCAGGTGATTATCTTTGCATCCACCATCAACAGACCGTCCACGTTTGTAGAGCCTTAAATGGAGAGCAGTATTTGGTGAGCAGAATGCTGCTGAAGTTCATTCAGCATGTTCTGTACCTTTGTGCGGGCGTGCATTTAATTCTGCTGTGTTAGGTTTCCGAGGGCAAAATAGCTTCTCTGCAAATCCTTAATCAGGCATCAGCTCACTAAGCTGGCTGACTCCTTAAAAATAGCAGAAGTTTGATGGAAAATAGCATCTTACTCTCGTAATTAGTTTATTTTGTTACAGAAGAGACTGTTGTTGAGCGGTTTAAAGACTGCCAGAAGGTCCCATCTGTTCAAGAAGCACAGAGATGTAGTGGTGGGCTGAAGGAGGAGTGGGCAGGGGATGCCGCAGATTTGTATCCTCAGCTTCCTTGTATTTCACAGCTGAGCACTACTCCTGTTGAATTCTTTTTACATTCCAATGAAGTTGCAACCACCAGGACTAAACCACAACTAAAGACCTGAAAAGCAATGGGATTTAAAGCTGTTATCCTCTTTTGGTTGTCGCTCATTGAATCATTAAGGTTGGAAAAGACCTCTAAGATCACCTGGCCCTACCCCAACCCATCCCCACCATCCCTGCTGACCACATCCCTCAGTGCTGCATCTCCATGTTTCTGGAACACCTCCAGAGATGATGATTCCACCACTGGATCCTGTTCCAATGCATTACCTCTCCTTCCAAGAAGAAATACTTTCTAATATTCAACCTGACCCTCCCCTGGCACAACTTGAGGCCATCACCTCTCATCCCATCTCTGTTACCTGGAGAAGGGGCCAACCCTCACTTTGCTCCAACCCTCCTTTCAGGGCACTGTAAGGGGTAATGAGATTTCCCCTGAGCCTCCTCTTCTCCAGACTGAACCATGACCACTTGGGCACACTGCTGGCTCATAGCAGGACGAGGGGATATGGTTTTAAGTTGAGGGAGGGGAGATTTAGGTTGGATGTCAGGGGGAAGTTCTTTACAGAGAGAGTGGTGAGGTGCTGGAACAGCTGCCCAGAGAGGCTGTGGATGCCCCATCCCTGGAAGTGT